AAAAAAAAAAGGCTAAGGGGAAAGCCAATAGTGGTAAGTGCCTATAATTTCAGCACTGGGGAGGCTGAGGAAGGAGAACTGCCACAAATTCCAGGACAGCCTGTGAGGCTACATAGTGAGTTCAAGGTCAGCCTGAACTACACAGTAAGACTGTCTTAAAAAAAAGAAAAAGAGAGAGCCAAGGATGCATACCTATTTGCAAGTTTTGCAAGTTTAGCGCAGTCTAGGTGACTTAGCTACTTAGCAAGTAGCCTCAAAATAAAAAAGCACTGGCGATGTAGTGTGGAGACCCCTGGATTCAATCCTCAGTATAAATAAATAATAACACTAAGTGGTAGGAAGGAGAGGAGGTGGGGAAGGTGTAAGTAGGAAGGTCCCTGGGACCCAGGGCCTGGGTGAGTAGATTAGAATGTTGGCAGTAACCAGATCCACTCTTTTCATCATCAGAGAAAGAAGTGGTTGCAGTCACATTCCGAAGTATGATGGGAAGAAACTATTGTAGAGCCTGACTCAAGAATTTGGAGAGACTGGGTATGATGGCACAGGACTGTAATCCCAGCATTGGGCAGGCTGAGGAAGGATCACTTTAAGTTCAAGACCAGCCTGTGCTACACAGTGAATCCACAGCCTGAACTACATAGGGAGACCCTGTCTTAAAAAATTTTTTTGGAAGGCTGGAATGGAAAGCAAAGCATGAGTATCTACAGTTTGAAAAGGGTCACAAGTGGGGTACCCCAAGGTTTAGGTTGGGTGCTGCGTAGGTCATAAAGTGTAGGGACCGGGGGCTGGGGATTTAGCTCAGCGGCATAAGTGCCTGCCTTGCAAGCAGGCAGTCCTGAGTTCAATCCCTGGTACCGATAAAAACAAAAAGACCAAAAAAAAGTGTAGGGATCAAGGTGTCAGATGCAGAATGCCCAAATACACGTGAATGTAATGTAAGTGAGTCATAAATTTTTAGTATAAACATATCCCAGGTAATGTTTGGGATACAATTACATTTAAAATTTGTAGCTTATCTGAAATTCAAGAGCTGTGAACAAGAACAGTGTAACACCAATAGTGGGTCAGGGAAGGAATACGGACCGTGCGACCCTGCTTGATACCCGGGCTTGGAAAACAAGCCACGCCGGACTACTGGCAAGTAAGAGTCCGTTACATGTCGTGATTCTCCGTCGTCCCCGTTGTCCCCGTCCCAGAATTTTAGTCTCATCCTACCACCCCTCCCGGCATTCCATGGTATCGCCCAGAAGAGCCATCGATAACTCAACGCTCGGCCTCTATCGACTCGCTCCGGCTCTTCTAGCCATCCTGGGTCACGGCAGAGTGCGGAGCGCAAGTAAGGTATGGAGGATATGGGACAAAGGCCAGGAATGGGCTGCTGGGTGGCTAGGGAGTGCCGCCAAGGAAAGGTGCGACCAGAAGGGACCCAGGTCTGTCAGCGAAGCAACGGGAGCTCGCAGGTGTGGCCAGACAGAGCCCCGTTCTATCAGGTCGAGCAACCAGTGAGCTACACATGCGCAGCCGCAGCTCGGTTTTCTTCCCCTCCTCCCCCGCCAGCGGCCTGCGCATGTGCGTCCCGCCCCTGCGGCAGACGGCGGCTCGCGTGACTGCCCTCTCCCGGCGCGAGTGGCGTGGTTTTCGGCAGGTGCCTGCACGGGCTGGGGCTTTGGAAGCTAGGTGCCGTGGCCAGCAATCAGCGAATCCTTGAACTTACCCAAGCCTCAGTCTCCCCATCGCTAACGTAGGAATGTTAATGCGTGTTTGAGAGCACCAGACATTTACTTCGTACCGAGACAGTATCTCCTAAGTACTTAAAAACCTCTCTCTTTTCCAAATGGTCTGACCTTTGACCTCTTCCAATCAGTTTTCCTGCCGAGAGACTCGAAGCTGCACCATGAACACCTCCCCAGGAACAGTGGGCAGTGACCCTGTCATTTTGGCCACTGCGGGCTATGACCACACTGTGCGGTTCTGGCAGGCGCACAGTGGGATCTGCACACGCACTGTGCAGCATCAGGATTCTGTATCCTCCACCAGAGTGTGGGCAGGGTGGTGTTGGGTAGGCCAGCGGGTGGAGATGATGTAACAGCTGTTGCCATATAGTGAAGATGAGAACCATGGCCCCAGACTCCCTTTCTGTCATCTTCCTTAACCTGATCCTAGCAGGTGAATGCACTGGAAATTACTCCAGACCGCAGTATGATTGCTGCTGCAGGTACCTGTGACTCTTGACCTCTGATCCCTGACTTCCCCTTGACTTGGAACAGCCATGTTTCAGTTTACCGTGTGTTCTTAGGTTATCAGCACATCCGCATGTATGATCTCAACTCCAATAATCCCAACCCCATCATTAGCTATGATGGAGTCAATAAGAACATCGCATCTGTTGGCTTCCATGAGGATGGCCGTTGGATGTACACAGGCGGAGAAGACTGCACAGCCCGAATCTGGGACCTCAGGTGTTGGGTGCTGGGCAGGAGGGGCCTGCTACCTGGAGGTGAGGGTGGATCAGGCAGGGGCCTGGCTTGGGCAGCTTTTCTCAAGCAGATGCTGGGCCAGAGAGGTTTGTGTGGGTGGCTTATTGAGGGAAGGAGAAAAGCCTAGTAGAATTACATCAAAGAGATAGTACTTTGAGGCCAGGACCTGGCTTTTCCCTCCTCTTCAGTCTCTCACTAGCTTCAGGATACTGCTGGTTGGGAAGAGCAAAACCTCGTGCGCGCGCGCGGGGGGGGGGCGGTGTCTAGGAAGAGGACATTTGGTGGGACACCAACAGCATTCCCTAGAGATAGTGTGTGATACCCTCACAGGTCCCGAAATCTGCAGTGTCAGCGGATCTTCCAGGTGAATGCACCCATTAACTGTGTGTGTTTGCATCCCAACCAGGTGAGAATTACTCATGGGGCCAGGGACTTGGTTTTAAAGACAAGGATCCCACTATACACTCCTATACCCTAGGCAGAGCTCATCGTGGGGGATCAGAGTGGTGCAATCCACATCTGGGACCTGAAAACAGATCACAATGAGCAGCTGATCCCAGAGCCAGAGGTCTCCATCACATCTGCCCATATTGATCCTGATGCCAGCTACATGGCAGCAGTCAATAGCACCGTGAGTCCCTGTACTCCCTGCAAATGTGCTGATTTTCCAGTATCCCTCAGGCCCCTTGCCTTCTCCCAGGTTCAAACACCTATCAGCTCCCAGAGCTGTAATACGGGTACTACTGATGTCCTTTTTGCTGCCTGCCATGGCCCATTCAGCAGGCAAGCAACCTCAGGTTTTCCTTATATGTCTGTCACCTCCTGGCCCCAGTCACCCTTATCTTCCCTAATGCTGACAATCGCTCTGTGGTCTTTCTTCTGACCTCCCTTGTTCATTTGTCCAGTCTTCTTTGGCAGCAGCAGTACTATTGAGACTGCATCATTCCACTGAGGAGACCCCAAGATGCGCTGGATCCTTGTGCATAGTCTGTTTGGGCTCTGCTCCCTTCTAGCCTCATTATTCATTTAAGTCACACTTCTCCCACATCCTAGCCTTGGCCTGCTACATCTCTGTCTGGGTGCCCTCTTCTCCTTCTGCACACCTCTTTTGTTCAGTAGTGTTCCTCCAAGGAGGTATGTGGAGCCTTTGGCCAGTATGGCCTCCTGGTTTTAGCTGGACAGGTGTGGCCTTTGATTGGGTCCTGGTCCAGCTCCATATATGCAAGCCCCAAATGTTGGATCCAGGTTCAACCCCCAGGATGCCCTTTTCTGAGGTTCCAGGTATCAAGTGACTTCCCTTCTACCCAATAGGGAAACTGCTATGTCTGGAATCTGACTGGGGGTATTGGTGACGAGGTGACCCAGCTCATCCCCAAGACCAAGATTCCAGCCCATACCCGCTATGCCCTGCAGTGCCGTTTCAGCCCTGACTCCACGTGCGTGCAGAGCCTGTTGGCCTGGGAAGGCATTTGCCTGGGGCTGGGCTTTGATGGGTTGAGCCCACCTGTTGCATGGTAAAGGGAACGAATTGACTACCACTTTAGACTCCTAAATCTGTACCTCCAGGCTCCTTGCCACCTGCTCAGCTGACCAGACATGCAAGATTTGGAGGACATCCAACTTTTCCTTGATGACAGAGCTGAGCATCAAGAGCAGCAACCCTGGAGAATCATCACGTGGCTGGATGTGGGGTTGTGCCTTCTCAGGGGACTCCCAGTACATCGTTACAGGTGAATCCTGCTTCCCCTCCCTTACCTGGGCCCAGCTGTTGTTCCTCCTTTACCTCAGGCCAGCTATGTCAGACTCCAGACATAGCTATTGTCCTGTAGGGTAGGAGGACAGTCACTTGAAACCAGAGTCTTAGAGAGGGGAACCCTGGGGGTGTACATAGGGACCTTGGCTAGGGTGTGCAGATGGATAGCTGGAGTCCTGCCTTTAGGAGGTCCCTTGGAGGCCTAGTCCCAACCAAGAGCCATACCTGGCCCTGAGCTATTGCCACATCTTTCCCTACAGCTTCATCTGACAACTTGGCCCGCCTTTGGTGTGTGGAAACTGGAGAAATCAAGAGAGAGTATGGTGGCCACCAGAAAGCTGTTGTTTGCTTGGCTTTCAATGACAGTGTCCTGGGTTAGCCTGTACCCTTAGGACTGCAGGCAGCTACTGGACAGTAGGAATGGCCTCTGCAGGGTCTACAGCTGGATATATCTGTGTATCACGTGGTCAGAGTAAAACCCCTGGGCTAGCCTCTGCCCACCAGGTCCACTGTACCTGAGCAGGCTACCCTGGCCCCTCTCAGCCGATCTAGACCTGCTGTGTGCTGTGGAACTCTGTCAGTGCCCATTTGCTTATCAGGAACCTATCAATCCAGGGTACACATGCCTGGGTTGGGAGAGCCTGCATTCCCTTCAGAGACTGAATCTCTGCCTGGAACTGCTGGGGGAACCAGAGGCTGGTGCCTGTCTCCACATCTTGCTTCCCCTTCCTGCCCCAATCAGACCCTGAGGCCCACAGAACACCACCACAGCCAATGCAAGAGTTTATTTGTTCCTGCCAGCAGTTGCCCTCTATAGTGCTGGTGACCAGCCAACTGCTGGCTTGTGGAGACAAATCCAGATGGATCAGGCAAAGGACTTAGTCTGGAAGATAATAAAAGCAGACAGACATGCAGATGTTGCTTGGGAAGCAGATGTCAATGCAGAGATAGATCAGCCGCTGTCTCTGGGGTCCTGGAAGAAGAAGGGTCATGAATCCCAAAGAACTTCCACTCAGCTTCTTCGATATTCTGTGAGAGTCACAGGCCTCTCCATACAGTATCCCCCAACTCACCGTCCACTCGATGAGCCCAATAGATGGGAGTTTTTGCACAGAGCTGTTGGACTGAAGTTCCCACCTGGGTAGGATCCACGGTATGGCTCCCATGCACCGCCAGCAGCTCTTGGGCATGGTAGGTGACCTGGCCAGGGGCATAGAACTCTTGGACCTGCAAAAAGACTTCGGTGGGCCATAGTACAGGGAACTTTCCTGCTTTAGGCAGGGTCAGGGCCACACATCCCACCCCAACCTGACAGTCTAGCCATCTGCTGCTATCAGCAGCTTTAGCTAAGAGAAGATAGAACTCTCTGTTCTCTGAAACCAGAGCCCCAGCTGGCCTGGGCCAGCTGCACACAGGACCCTTTGTCTGGATCCTGTCCTGGGGGCTGAGTGGAGTAGGGCTGCTCACCCTGGAGGTGTTCACCATCAGCTGCAGGGTCTCTCGATCTCGAGCCTCCATCAGGCGGAGGAAGCAGGCCTGGTGCTCTGCTGGGCGGTAGCAGATGCAGCCCTGGGGAAGCAGGTGCGTACGGTGGGACTTTTCTCTAACATACACAGTTTGACCCCCTCCCTGTTAACTCACGTTTTGCCCATCGAACAGCACTGCCCAGCTGCGATTGCTCTGAGGTGGAGTCACCATAATGGTTGCCATGTTCCGGGCCATGTCCACCAGAGTAGTTTGGTTGGACCAGGGCCCCCGTGGGCTTGGGAGAGTCAGTCGGAGCATCTGCAGCAGTGGCTGAAAGTGGGAAGTTGGAGTTCAGCCAGACAGGCTTTATAGCCCCATGTCCCCAGCCCTCAGCCTTAGCACTTCTGCATCATCTGAATGGGCTTTTGGGGCCAGGGGTTTAGCTCAGCAGCACAAGCACCTGCCTGGCAAGTGCAAGGTCATGAGTTCAATCCCTAGTACCAAAAAAAGGGGGGATTTTGAGGCTTCTGGTCCTCTTGTCATTTGCTACAAGGCCAATGGCCTGCTCTGGGCCCTAGCTCCTCTGGAGGGCTGGTATGTGCTAGCCTTCTTGCCCCCCTTCCACTGTGTATGCCTTTGTGCCTGACAGGCTCACCTTGGGAGGGTCATGGGTGAAGCCAAGAAGCCCTCCAGCCACAGCCCCTGCAGTGGCTAAGGCTAACAGCAGCAGCAGCAGACCTGCAGCTTTCCAGCTCCCATGGCAGGGCTTAGTCTTCACCTAAAGGGACATTGTGGTCAGTGGGTCCATTGCGTTGGAGACCCAGAAGCAGGGTTACTCAGAGAAGGAAGCTATAGTGGTGGTGGCACTCCCAATCCCTGGAGATTCCCTATCCAGGCAATGGCAGAGGTACTCACCTCTGTAGGACAAGGCTCAGGGCCCTCTGTGTAGCTGCTGCTGTTCTCCATGCTGTAGCCCCTGCTGACAATACACTGATTGTCTGCAGCCCCTTGGAGGATTCCAGCAAGGAAACCTCAGGATGCCTCTAATGAGCCAAACAACTGTAACCTCCCCTCAAGACCCTACTGCCTCCTCCCTACCTCAGTATCTGATATCTAGGTCAGAGCCATGACAACTCCCTCCCCTACTGGGGATGCCAATCACCAGGCCAGGTTAACAACTGGCCTATACAGACTAGAGAGCACAGTCTCAGAAGACTTGGGAACACGCCTCAGTGGGAATGCAGTCCAGCTAATTGATGGGGGCAGCTCAGGCCCAGCCTGGATAATTGGCTGGGGCAGTTTTAAGATCTTTCCATCTGTTATCTCTGGATTCCAGAACTGAGGGCAGAGTGTGGCACACGGCAACCCGTCAGTAAGTACCTGTCCAATGACAGTGGGCACCACCTGTGTACCACCTGTCCTCTCTCATGTCCCTAGCTGCTTTTAGCCTGTCCCCCTCCCCACTACCTACAAGGCTGTGGGCATCCAGTAGAACACAGGCCTAGCACTAAGGTTAAAGACTGAATCAGCAATTGTCACCCAACTGGAATCTCCATGTTGAAGATGGTCACTTTGGCTTTTTGGGTCCCTCCTAGAATGGCTTGCTTCAAATTCATCCCTACTCACACGTCCTAGCCCATGGTCCATTTCCACACATTAATGTCTAGGCTATATGTGCTTCATCACATGGCCCTGCCCTGCTCTGGTTTTTTCCAGAATAGTTCTGGTTTCTCCAGAACTGTTTCTGTAATAGGCCTGAAATGGTCTAGGCTGCAGTAGCCATTGTTCCAGATCTGGAATTGGAACCCTAGCCCAGGTTTGTTGTTTTTTTTTTTTTTTTTTTTTTTTTTAAGCCCTCCCTCCGATTCTACCCCTGCCTCCCCAGCTCGACAGCTGCCACCTGGGAACAGCTGTAAAGACGAGGAAGGAAGGCCCAGTCAGTGCAGGTTTGAGAGTTTAATGTGCATGTAAGGTCACACAGCGCAAGGGGTCAGAGATGGGGTTCACACAGGCTCCCAAGCTGGCTGAAGAGGGAAGCATTGCTGGCTGCTGCACCTGCTGTGTGCTCCTGGTGTGGGTGACAACGCCCTGACAGGCCTGCTCAATATCAAGACCCACCTTGAGCCGACCTCGCAGAGCCAACGTCAGCACCACCAACCTCACAGGCATGGCTGCCCTCCTGCTGCCATGTGGCACCATCTCAATCCCAGCCACCCTGGCTGATACCCTTTATTGCTCTGAGAACTCTGAACAGGTGATGGAGCACTGATCACAGGGCTGAGAGAAGCCACTGGATACAGGGTGAGGCACTGGGAAGGAGTCAGCCAAAAGGAACAGCCTCCCAGGATCTGCCCTGCATGTGCTGCCAAGCCTACTCAGCAAACTGCTAAAGTTCAACAGCCTTAGGGAACAGGCAGAAAAGGCCAGAGCCCCTGCAGAAAACCCCAGGTTGGCTGGTGGACCCTGCCAGTCCTCCTACTGACTATCATCAAGGGAATATAAGACCAGATAGGTGGTCTCACACCTAACCCTTATTGACATGTAAGTCTAACCCTGATCCAGGGTACAGGCAAGCAAGGAGAGACCGAATACTTTGTAAACTTCCTGTTACCTGGGAAACCTCTTTCCTCCCCCACCCAGAGGGCACCCAAGGTGACAGGCAATCCTTGGCCAACACATGCCTTTAGCCATGTTGCTGGCTATGGGACATGGAGACTTCTTCAGTGTGATTTCTCCTATGAGACAGAGCACAGCTATTAATCCACATACTTAAGATTCAACTCCACCACTTGACAAGGTTGTCCACAAGTTAAAAAAAATTTTTTTTGGTACCAACACTGCTCCAAGCTCCCTGCACAGCAGCCCAGAGTTCAGTGAAGGTGTCCACACCCGCCTGAGTCACCTGCATTTAAATGCATACTTGAGACAGCCGAAGTTTAGCTGGGGTCTGGGCTGTTTACAGAACGGGGCAGCTGTATATGAGAAGCTGCAGCCCTGGGATCTGAAAGGGAACAGACAATTGTGACATCAAAGTGGTTTTCAAAGGGAACAGGAGGGGTGACAAGGGCAGCACCCCCACACTGAAGGACAGGGTGACAACATTAGGAGTGGCCTCCTTACTCCACACAGATAAGGAGCTGGGGCATAGCAGCAGCAGTCAGCTGTACTGCATTACCACATACAGTGGGGAGGAGGCAGAGGACTTCCTTCTGTCTGCACAAGTGTCTCACAACAGTCACAATAATCAGGTTCTTCTTTTCTCTGCCCTCCAAAAGGGCTTGATCCCTGAACAAAACTTTTAAATACGTGACACACCTCTAGACCTGCAAGGTCTGAGGTTACCTGAATCTTGGACAGGTGCCAAGCCTGCCCTAACCAACACATCCAAAGCCAGGACCCAATCCTACAATGCCCTCCAAGCTTAAAAAGTGCATCTTAAATTAAAATATAAGTATCTGTAAACAACATTGTCCCCGGAAACGTTCACTTACAAGGCTAACAACTACTGCCTCTGTTTAACTCCAATTACACTCTTGGGCTATATCGCTGAGCCAATGCCTAAGCCCCACCTATTAATTTGGCTAACATTTTCAATTACTTTTTATTCTGGAGATTAAAGACACTAAATCTTTAACCTTGAAGGGCGGGTAAGAGATCGGCTATGCTGTCAACATAAAAGTCAGGAACCATTTTCTTCTTAGACATGCAGTCACTTTCCTGATTACTCTTCACGTCCCCCAACGTGGAGACTCCCGTGAGGGTCAGGATGGTCTTCAGGCCGCAGGTGACGCCAAGGAGGATGTCGGTGTCCAGGCGGTCCCCGACCATGACAGTGCGCTCCGGGTTGATGCCATATTCCTGGGACACGCAATCGAAGATGAAGCGGCTGGGCTTCCCGATGATGTCGGCTTGGCGCTGGGCGGCCATCTCCACCGCGCGCACCAAACAGCCGGTACCTGCGGGGCGGAGGGAGGGAACGGGACGCTGGGGTCAGAGGGTGGGGACGGGGCGGGGGCAGTGTGCCCTCCGGCCTCCCGCCCCGGGGCGCACGGACCCGCGAGGAAGCGGCCGTTCTCCAGCGGTAGCCGATTATCCATGTTGGTGCCCACGAGCAGGCAGCCGGGCTGCTGTAGATAGCGCACGGCCTGGGTGAGCTTCATGTAGCTGAAATGCGGGTCGAAGCCCACCACCACCGCACGCACCTCGGGGTCGAGCGGCAAGGCTAGCCAGTCAGCGGCGCCGTCGCCCCGCAGCGGCTCAGGCCCCACGCCCACGCTGGCGACGCCCACGGCCTGCAGCTCTGTGGCCAAGGCCGGGCTGCCCAGCACATAGGCCTTGGGGGCCGACGCGCCCGCCAGGCGTTCGCGCAGGTAGAGTGCGGCGCAGTAGGCCGTGCCGAACACCTCCGGGCCGGCCCCCGGCCCCGTGGGGCCGCCGAAACCCAGCCGCCGAAGCTTCTCGGCGTAGGCGGCACGCGTCTTGCTGCTGTTGTTGGTGATGAAGCCCAGGCGCTTTCCGCGGGCCCGCAATGCCCTCACAGCCTCAGGCGCGCCGGGCACCGCTGTTTCCCCGCGCCACAGCACGCCGTCACAGTCAAACAGCAGCGTGTCCACGTCGGCCAGCAGTGCTTGGGCCCGCTCGGCGTTCAGCCGCACGCAGCGGGCGTCGTCGCCGCCGGCCTCCGCCATAGCTGTCCGCCACAGATACTGCCGGCCACTGCTGCCACCGGCCTCTCTCAGCCGCTAGCCGCGGCGCCCGCCCCGGCGCCCGTCCCGCCCCCAGCACGATTATTGGCCCTGTGTCTCGCGCGCATCGCCTGTTGGTTATCGTCTGCACCAATCCGTCTCCTCCCCTGGCAGGCAGCACCAACCACCGCGGCCCAGAGAGGGTGTGCGTTTTTCCATTGGCTGCTGGGTTTGAGCCGCTCCAACCATTGGCTGGCAGGGTGCCAACCGGCTTGCGGAAAAGAGCTCTAGCTGCAGAAAAGGTGCGGCCGAGGGAAGTGCAGGACGTAAGGCCTTTGCTCATTGGCGGCCACGGGACAGCTCGCCCATTGGAGGCGCGTGGTCAGCCTAGGTGACGGAGGCCCCTGGTCAAGCGACCCGGCGCTAAACCGGTTGTTCATTGGCTGGATTTTCTTGCAGTCTCGAGGGAGGGAGGTGCTGCAGCCAAAGAGGGAAAAGTCACGTCCGCCCCTAGGTTAGGTTGTGTGAGGTTCGGGATATGTAGTCACCGCGTGAGCTGTATATTTCCGAGGTCTTGGAGTTATCCTTAGTCCTTCCTTCACCACAGGCCTGGCCCTCTTATCTCCATACCTTTCCAAAAACGTTTCCAGGCGGTGTAGTAGCGTTAACCTGTTATTCCAGCGGTGGGAAGGCTGTAGCGGGAGGTTTGCAGAGAGTTCCACGCCAGCCTAAATTACATAGCGAGACTCTGTCTCTAAATAAATAAAAAACAGGCCTCAGGATATAGCTGAATATGAAGCCTCAGGGTTTGTTCTTCACTACAAACAGAACGAAACAGAATAACTGTATTGCCTATGAACCACTGATTCCAAGGCAATGGGATTAGGGTTTAGGAGGAGCACCCTACCAAAACCTATTACTATCATTTTCAGTTATTAGATACCAACTTCTGTTGAGGCATAGCATGCAGTAAGGTGCGGTTTTTGTTCTTTTTGGTTTGGTTTCTAGTGTTGAGGCTTGAACTCAGGGCCTTTGCAGTGAATTGCACCCCCCGCTTTTGTTTTTAATTTTAAGACAGGGTCTCCCTAAATGGCTAAATTGCCCAGGTTAGACCCGAATTTGGGGTCTTACCTCAGCCTATCAAAACGCTGGACTACAGGATTGCACCACTGCCTACGTACTGTATTGAATTTTTATATTCCTATATGCTTATATAAACAACCCAAATAAAATTTATTTTATTATTGTTTTTGTCTTTTTGAAACAGAGTTTCACTATGTAAGTTCAGACGGGCCTTGAATTGACATTGTAGCCCAGAGAGTCTCAAACTCTCAACAATCCTCTGCCTCGGCCTCCCAAGTGCTGGAATTACAGGCATGTGCCACCATATTTGGCTCAAATAAAATTTAGAATACTACATGTGATTAAATATATATATATATATATATATATATATATATATATATACACACACACACACACACACACACACATATAGTAAAGCTGGCCATGGTGGTGCTTACTGGTAATCCACTGCTTGGGAGGCTGAGGCAGGAGGATTGCTGAGAGTTTGAAGCCAGTCTGGGCTATGTAGTGGGACCCCCTTTCTTTTTACTTTACTTTGTCTTTTTGAGATAAAGTCTCATTATGCAGTTTAGATTGGCCTTGTGCTCACTTTGTAGTCCACAATGGTCTTGAACTCATAACAATCCTCCTGCCTCAACCTCCAAAGTGCTGGGATTATAGGCATGTGCCTACCACCACCTGGCCATGACCCTTTTTCTTTCTTTTTTTTTCTTTTTTGTCTTTTTGAGACAGTTCACTATGCAGGGCCTTGGGCTCACTTTGTAGCCTACACTGGTCTCGAACTTGCAAGGATCATTCTGTCTCAGGATTAAGTGCTCCTGAGTGCTGAGTGCTAGGATTACAGGAGTGTGCCACCATGCCCGGCTGACCCTTTTAGAAAAAAAAAAAAGTATGGTAAATGCTCAAATTTAAAAATATTTGTTACAGTAGGTGTATTATCACTAATGCTCCTCCAAATACTTTTACTTAGAATGCACTTATCCCATTGTTCTTGTAAGTTTCTTTTCTTTTTCTAATGGTTAAAAGTCTTTATCAACAAAGGTCACTTCATTTCTTGTAAATTCATCATAATATTAAATAGGATAAGATGCTTAGTAGCTGTAATTCAGGGCTTAATTCCAGTTTAGTCCTTTTCAATGAACTTGTTCTTGCCAGTTTCTGAAACAGTTCTAGAATTTTTTTTTTTTTTTTTGGTCTTTTTCCTTTTTATCGGTACTGGGGATTGAACTCATGATTGCCTGCTTGCAAGGCAGGTGCTTATGCCACTGAGCTAAATCCCCAGCCCCACTGTGATTCTTTTAAATTAAACATTCATTATAGTTTTCAATCATCCCTTGTATTTCCAACACCCCAGAGAGTATCCCTCCATGTTCCAATTCAGTCACCAGTGAATATCTTGTCTCAATCATGCTTGAGACTTCCGTTGCATAGAGTTGTAGCCTAATTTGCCTATTCGAGACCATTTGGACTTTTTTTTTTTCTCGTCTTTTTTGAGGCAGGGTCTCACTATGCAGTTCAGGCTGGCCTTGAGCTCACTTTGTAGCCCAGGCTGGTCTTGAACTCACAACATCCTCCTGCCTCAGCCTCCCAAGTGCTGGTATTACAGGTGTGAGCCACCATGCCCTGCGCCATTTGGACTATTTTCCTGGACTGGTGATTAAATGCAAAGTTTTGCACATGCTAGGCAAACACTCTAGCACTGAGCTATATCCCAAGGCTTTATTTGTTTATTTAGATAGGATCTCACTATGTAGTCCAGGTTTGTCTCTGACTCTGGATCTGCCTGGCTCAGCCTTCCTACAGATGTGTGCCACCATGCTGGTGGTAACAGGTGTATACTACCATGCCTGACTACTGGGCCTTGCTTCTTTGGCTCAATATAATGTCTGTGAAGAGGCTGGGGATTTAGCTCAGTGATGTGCCTGCATTGCAAGCACACGATTGTGAGTTTGATCCCTGGTATCAAATTTTTTTTGTTTATTTTCTATATATATTTAATTGTCCCATAAGGAATTGTGATACCATAGCCTTATACGTGCATGCATGTGCACTCGCGCGCGCGCGCGCGCGCACACACACACACACACACACACACAGCTGCTGCTGCTGGACATTTGTGTTTTGTCTATCTAAATAATGCTCCCGTGAACATTCTTGTTCCTCTGTAAACATACATGGATATATGTATCCTTCCCTCAGATATATATTTAGGAATGAAATTGCTGGATCATAGGATAAGTGCCTGTTTTCAATATTACTTTCACTAGGGTCAGGTTTAGAACAACAATGATTCCTAGTTTCCTTAAGCCCTGTCCTGATTGCCATCTGGACCCTGAATTACCAGTGTGTTCATTCCATATTCTTCTCTTGGGCCCCAGCTGTCCATAAAGTCTTTGAATCCACCTCCACCTCCATTCCCAAACCCATCAGGCAAAATTAATGTCCTTGGCAAACTTCAGGTCTTATTTGTTTACATAACAGTCCATTTCTTTTGTTTTTTGCTGGCTTAGGAACCTTTGGAGGACAGGAACTATAGCCCAGAATTGTAGGGTCTATAAAATGTTCCTGTGTGGAGAGAACACCTTAGTTCTGTTTTTTTTTTTTTTAATTGGTACTGGGGATCAAACTCACGGCCACATGCTTGCAAGGCAGGCAAGCGCTTATGCTGCTGAGCTAAATCCCCAGCCCTTAGTTCTGTGTTTTTAAAAAGTGAGAATTAAACCCATGATGTAATCCCAGCACTAGAGAGGTTGAGGCAGGAGGATCAATGCACATTCAAGGCTAGCCTGGGTGCCACACTGCATTCAAGGCCAGCCTGCACTACAAGGAGAGATCCTGTCTCAAAAAAATTGCTAAATTGTCTAGGCTAGGCTCAAACTTGCAACCTTCCTGTCTCAACCCCCAGAATGCTGGAATTGCAGGTATGAGCCACCACACCTCCTAGTCCCTGATCTTCATGTTGGGTTTTGGTGGCTGAACTGGCCCTTGGAAGAAATGCCTTAGACAAAAGATCACAAACTCTGTTTACTACTCAGTATCACTCAGTTGATAAGTATGTCTAGATGTGCCTGGGCTTTGGCAGCAATGTTTATTTGATTGCCTTAGTTTATGGTTGGACAATCAATGTCTGGACAGAAATCTTTACTTGCATATTCTTGCAAGAGTCATAGGACAGAGCTCAAAGCAAGGACTGTCAGTATCTCTATTTATAGATGAGGGAAACTGAGCTGCTGAGAGCCACTAGCTATACAATGCAGAGTTAAGGTTAATTCAGCTAACTCCAGTGTGGAGTTCTGCCACATCTGACTGGTTTAACATCAGATAAGTGTGCTTGTATGTTGATAGGTGGTATGGGCTGAAATGGAAAGAGAGTTAAGTATAGACAAACAGGATGGTTGTGGACAAAGTCCTAGAGTAGTCTGGAAAGGACCATGGCCTTCACGGGGCAGGGCAGACTGACCTTGGGTGGGGACAGCACATAGTAGCCACATATATGGGGGAAGAGTCTATCACTATGTGTTTCTGATACACAGTGCCTACTTTCAAATGCATGGGACCAACATTGCCCCAAGAGAGGGTGGACGAAGGGATGAGGTAGTATAAGGACAGACACTTTAATTTTTAATATAATCAACCTTAATAGTTGTATGGATTTACAAGTTTTAGAAAATACATGTGGCTACCGAATCTGTTTGAGATAGAATCTCACTATGTAGCCCAGGCTATTCTCAAACTGCTGATTCTCCTGCCTCATCCTCCCAAGCGCTGGTATTACAGGTATGCATCATCACACTAAACTTCAGTATTATTGTTTCTAATAAGCCAAGCAAAAATGAGGGTCACTGTATCCATTAACTTTTCTGTCACTGAGACACAATCCTTGAGACCAATAATTTAAAGGAGGTTTAATTTAGCTTATTCTTTCATGACATTCAGTCTACAGCTGTTAGCTCCAAGGTAGGAATATCATGGTAAAAGGGCAGAGCAAGGTT